TCTTGTTATGTAGCCCAAGACGGCCTAGAGTCACTATGCAGTCCAGGCTGACCCTGAACTCCTAGCAAATTTCCTACTTCAGGTTCCTTGGTGCTGGATTTACAGGCTCATGCCACTACACACCCAGCTGGAAGTTGTTTTGGGACAGTATATTGTTCTGTCTAATCAATCCTACATAAACACTCCCTGGAATTGGAGGCGAGGGATACTTGGTTGAATCTGAATAGGAAACAATAATGACGAGCATACTCTTCATCCCATTTGTGAGGCTGCGTGGGCTCTTAGGTGAAGCTCTTTTAAAGAAATTCTGACTTCATTTTAGTTTAGTTTTGTTTAGTCACTTGAGGCAGGGCCTCACTGTGTAGCTGTGGCTGGCCTGAAACTGTGTAGACCAGACTGGCCTCGAGCTCACAGAACTCTGCCTGCCTTTGCCTCCGAGTGCTGGGGTTAAAGGAGTGCGCCACTGCTACCCAGCTAGACTCTATTTTTAAAAAAGAAAAAACTGAGCAAGGTGATACACACCTTTAATACACACTTCGGACACAGAGGCTGGTGGATCTCTGTAAGTTCAAGACCAGTCTGGTTGCTTAGAGGATTCCAAGACAGCCAGGGCTACATGGTGAGACCTTGTCTAAAAATAATAAAATTAATAAAATAATAAAATAATAATAATAATAATGCATATGACTCATTCAGGGTCAGAGCTGAATGAGACAGCTTGAAAAATGGCTCTATGGATTGGTGGGAAGACATCTTCCTTGAATCAATACTAATACTAAGGCAGGGAACATACAAGATGTTGCAGAAGTGGACATCTGAATCCTGGTGGGGGACTGTAACCAACAATGCCCACACCAGACAGGCAGAATCATGGCAGGGAGAACACATGGGAACCTGAGGCTACATGGACATAGAAGCTATTAGGACTGAAATTGAAGTCCAAAAGGAAACTCCCAGCAACGGTAGCTCAGGCCACAAAAACTAGGGCAGGAAATTACTTTCAGTAACCTATGCTCCCAGAGACCAGAATACGGGATCAGAATGTAGCACACACGGAGGATGGGGCTGGGAGTGTGATAATGGGACAGGCAGTAAACCAGTAAACATGCAGTAGGCTCGCAGACCAGACCACCCCTCCCCAGGCCGGGACTTCTGACTGTTGACTGGGATGTCTTGAAAAGTTAGAGGATAATGACGTGTGGTGGCTCAAATTTTTAATCCCAGCACTGAGACAGGAGGCAGCTGAGGCAGGAGGACTACCATGAGCTAGAGACTCAGCTGCGATGCAGCATGAGTTCCAGGTGAACCTAGTCGACAGTGAAACACCACCCCAAAGCTGGGGTAGGAGGGAGTCTGTAAAGAAACTCCTGGAGGTCGGGAGGTGGTGGCACAGGCCTTTAGTCTAAGCCCTTGGAGGCAGAGGCAGGTGGATCTCAGTGAGTTCGAGGCCAGCCTGGTCTGCATAGTGAGTTCCAGGACAGCCAGGACTGTTACACAGAGAAACTCTGTCTCAACAAAACAAAGCAAAATTCCTGGAACCAGAGCTTACCTGGGAAGCCCAGACTTAAGAGGTTTCAAGTCACTGTCAATGAGATGCCCTTCCCCTTCAGCCACCATGAGGGAAGCTGAAAGATGAAGGGACACGGGTTTATATGTCTGACTATGACCCCTAGGGGCCAGATCAAGAGGAGTCAAGACTGGTTTTGTTTTCGTTTTTTGTTGTTGTTTTTTTTTTCCAGTTTATTTTTGTGTGTGGTTGTTTTCCCTGCATGTGTATCTGTGTGTACCATGTGTATGACTGGAGCTCTTGGAGCCAGAAGATGGCCTCAGACCCCACGGAACTGGAGTTACAGATAGTGGTTAGCCACCATGTAAGCATTAGGAATTGAACCTGAGTTAACTGCTGAGCCATCTTTTCAAGCTTCATGTATGAGTGTTTTTGCCTACATGTATATCTGGGTACCATGTGCTTGCCTGGTACCTTCAGAAATCAGAAGAGAGAATTGGATCCCCTGGAACTGGATTTATAGGTGATTGTGAGCCACTGTGTGGGTGCTGAGAACTGAACATGGGTCCTCTGCAAGAGTAGCTAGTAATCTTATTTGCTGAGCCTTCTCTCCAACCCCTGAAGGCTGGACTCACAGTTTGGGGGTACCAGACAAAGGGCATTTGTATATCTCTTTCTGACTCACTCTAAAAACCAACAAAGTTCCCTGGGTTTTCTGAAACCCTTGAAGATATTGGGAATAGCAAGTATTTGGTGCCACACTCCTTTAGTCCCAACACTCAGGAGGCAGAAGCAGGTGGATATTGGAGTTCGAAGCTATCTTGGTATATAGAGTGAGTTCCAGGACAGCCAGGGCTACATAGAAAAATCCTGTCTCAAAAAGTAAATAAATGAAAATATTGGGAATGAATGAAAAGAAATGTTCTTTAAAGAGAACTCTAAAGCATTACTTTCTAATAAAATAGAATTTTATTTTTTATTTTTAAACTTTCTCATGTGTATGTGTGCATGCCTGTGTGTATATGTGTGCATGTGTGAACATGCTCAAGTGTGTGTGGAGGTCAAAAGACAACTTGTGGAAATTGGTCCTCTCCTTCCAGCATGAATACCCCAGGGATCAAACTCAAATCATCAGACTTGACTGCTTTGCCCACTCAGCCATCTGGTCAGCTCCCTCTTTCTTTCTCTTGCTTCCTTCTTTTCTTCTTCCTTCCTTCCTTCTTCTCTTCTTTTTCTCCTTGTTTTCTTCTTTTTGGAGACAGGGCTTCTCTGTGTAGTCCTGGCTGTCCTGGCACTCACTCTGTAGCCCAAGCTGGCCTCGAACTCACAGAGATCCGCCTGTGCTGAGATTAAAGCGTGTGCCTCCACTGCAGCTTGTTTCCTTTTTTTTCCTAATTACATTTTTATTTTGTGTGTTTGTGCATATGCACATTGATATACCATGGCACAACCGCATGAAGAGCTCAAAGGACCTCTTATAGTAATTGATTATTTCTTTCTACCCAGGGTTCAAACTCACATCAGGCTTAGCAACAAGTGCCTTGACCCTCTGAGTCCTCTCATCAGACCCCATTCCTTTTTATTGAGACAGGGTCTCATGAAGGTCAGGTTATCCTTTAATTTACTATGTAGGGGTGATTGACCTTGAACTCCTAACTCTCCTGCCTCTACCTTCCAAGTTCTGATGTTACACACATCGCCATGTCCAGTCTTTAAAGAAAAAAAAAATGATGATCTTATGACCCCTTCATATCCATATGAGGTGGCTCATATCCATAATTCTAATGCTCAGAAAGTTGAGGCAGGAGAGGTTTGCCTCCAATCTGAGGCCAACCTGTACTTATAGGGACAGTCCCTTCAGCGAGTCAGAAGTATCGCCATCAGTGAGTCAGAAGTATTGCCATCAGCGAGTCAGAAGTGTCACCAGATGTCTTTGCCTCCCAAAACCAATTGGAAGCTCCGCTGGCCTGGACCAGGCACCCAGATAGGTCATGTGGCCTTTGATTTCTGCCAGAAACAGTAACTGGCAGGGGAAATTGTGAAACCCTGTCTCCTATGTACCCTTGTCAAGAGGCAAGTTACACAACACAGTGAGAATCAGGATAGCCCAAGCTACAGTGTGTGTGTGTGTGCGTGCGTGCGTGCGTGTGTGTGTGTGTGTGTGTGTGTGTGAAAGAGAGAGAGAGAGAGAGAGAGAGAAACGGAGACAGAGAGACAAGACAGTACTTCCCTCCTCCTGTAAAAAAGCCAGGCATAGTGGTGGTGCATGCCTATAATTCAGCACTCATGACGCTAAGGCTACATGGGTTGCAGGTCCATGGTTGTGAGGCCAGCATAGCCTATAGACTGAGTTCATAGCTAGCCTGGGCTATATAGCAAAAGCCTGTCTTAATTTTATTTTTTTCTGGGGCTGGAGAGTTGACTCAGTGGTTAAGAGCACTAACTGCTCTTCTAGAAGACCGATTCAATTCCAAGCACCCACATGGCGGCTCACAACTGTAACACCAGGATCCAGGAACCTCACACCGATATATAGGCTAAAACACCAATAAAATAAAATAATTTTAAAAAATTCTATGATAAAAACATCTTGAGTCTGTAGCTGTCAGAACTTAAAAATGTAGACACTGAAAGAGAATGGGAATTGTTTTTGTGTTTTGCCACAGGCTCTTGCTATATAGTTCTGCGTGGGCTCAACCTGAAAATAACCTTGCCTCGGTCTCCTGCATTCTGATCTTACAGGCATGCACTCCCTACCCAGCTCTTTTTTTTATTTTATTTTATTTTGAGACTGAGTCCATGTAGCCGTGTAGACCAAGCTGGTCTTGAACTCACAGAGATGTACCTGCCTCTGCTTCCTGAGGGCTGGGATTAAAGGCATTCACCGCTATGCCCAGCTTAAATTTAATTTTTTATGTGTGGGCAATTGTCTGCATATATATCTGTGTACCATGTGTGCAGTGCTCACAGAGACCAGAAGATGAGATGGCATTGAGACCCTGGAACTGGAGTTACAGTCTACTGTGCACCACCAGGTGAATGCTGGGAATTGAAATCGAGTCCTGTAGAAGGGCAATGTGTGCTCTCAACAGATGACTGTCTCTCCAGTCCTCTCAGAATCTTTCTTTTTTAATTTTTTTTTAATTTTTTGAGACAGGATTTCAAGTAAGCCATGTTGATCTTGAACTCATTATATAGCTGCGGGTTTCTTTGAACTCCTAAACCTCCTACCTCCATCCACCAAGTGTAGGGATTACAGGTGTGCAACACAACGCTTGGTGAGAATTTTACATTTTAATTGACATCCTAACAGTTACATTTGGATAGTGGCTAGTATGTTTGTTCCTGACACACAGCTCTTGAGCCTGGAAGATAACGGGTTTGATTATGGAGCTGTGGAGGAAGAAGAGGCACGCGCTCTGTGTCTCTTTAAGATGAGGACAGCCGATGTAAGTGGTAGCCCTGGGATGGAGAGCCTCAAACAACCACAGAATGCTTTTCTTGCCTCTTTATTTCTGATGCATATTTGCCCCCTCTTTGTCCAAGGTCCTCATCACATTTTGATATCCCCATTCCTTCTGGGTCGCCTCTGAGTCTTTGGGTACTTCTGGACGAGGGCACCTGGGAGACAGAGCTTCACACTTTTCCCTGTTAGTTACTGTTTCTGGCAGGCATCAAAGACCACATGACCTGTCCTGGTGCCTGGTCCAGAGCAATGGGACTTCCGGCTGAATTGGGGAGGTACAGACATCTGGCGATACTTCTGGCAGGTCGAAACAGCTGTGTCTACAGTGTGGTATACCCAGTCTTGGCTGTCTAACTGTTGGGAGGGAGGCTGTAGCTCAATCAGGACAGGTACCTCTGCAAACGTTTTCAGGTCAGGGGAGAGCACTTGGTCCTTGGAAGGGCAGGAGCTTTGGTTGACTGGGACAGAAGTGCAGGACACATGCTGTTCTGTATTGTCCTTCTGAGAAGTCACCTTATCTACAAGGGATTTCACTAGGGAAGATGTCTGTTTTAGTGTTTGAAATGGGCCTAAGACTTGGGCAGAATCAGTACCTGGAGCAAAGCTTGTTTTTTTGTTGAGGCCAGAGTCTGGGATAAGGCCTGAGTCCTTACAGAGGCCAGCTTTCTGGATAAGGCCTGGAGTCTTGAAGTCAGAGCCTTGGCCAAGTACTGGGTCTTGCTGACAGCCAGAATCTTGATCAATTGCTGGGTACTCCTGAAGGTTAGTACCTTGGTCGTGTTCTGAACTGTAGATGCCAACAACTTGGTTAAGGTCTGATCGTTTTGCTGCTGTGGTGACATTGATTAGGCCGAGAGTGTTGTGGGAGTCAGTGTCTTGGTTTAGAACTGGGACTCTGTAGATTCCAGGATCTTGGGTAAGGATCTTGTAGTCTCCTGAGTCTTGTGTAAGACCCGAGCTCTTATGGAGGCAAGAGGTTTGGACAAGACCTGGGCTCTTGGGGGAACTAGATTCTTGGGTAAGTCCAGAGTTTTTATCAATTTCAGGGTCTTGGGTATGACTCGGGATCTTCTGTGGTCTAGTGTCTTGAATCAGGCTTACATTCCTGCAGACTCCTGGATATTGTACATTTCCTAAACCATTGTTACCTCCAGAATCTTGAAGGGGGTCTGGCCTCTTCTGGTCGGTTACTAGGGAGACACCTTTATTTTTGTTGGTTACAGTGTCTTGGTTTAATGCAACATTCCTGTAGATGACAGAGTCTTGCGTAAAGCTCAAAGTCCTCTGACCAGATGTATGATTGAATATTATATTCCTGTGGAGGTTGGAAGGCTGCAGGAAATCTAAGTTCCTAAGAACACCAGCATCTGAACTCCTTAGGCCGGAATCTTGAGTGACAGCTAGATTCTTTTGAAGGCAAGCGTCTTGGGAAATGCTTGGATTCATGCAGAGGTAAGACTCTTGAACACAGCCTGGAAGTTTGTAGTAATCTGAGTTCTTGTGGAGGCATGGATTTGGGGCAAGGTCTGGGTTCTGGTGTTCTGCATTTTGGGCAAAGACTAGGTTCTTCTGGATTCTTGGATTTAGGAAAAGGTCTGGGTTCTTCTGGAGTCCTGAATTTAGGGAAAGACCTGGGTTGTTCTGGATTCCTGGATTTGAGGCAAGGCCTGGGTTCTTCTGGTGTTCTGGATTTGGGGCAAGGTTTGAGTTATTTTGGAATCCTAGAACTTGGGTAAGGCTTGGGTTCTTCTGGAGTCCTGGATCTTGGGTAAGGCTTGGGTTCCTGGGAACTCCAGAATCGTTGACAAGGGATGGGGTTGTTTGAAGGCCAAAGTCTTTGTTAAAGTTTTGATTCTCAGAGTTTAGGGGTTGGGCTAAGGTTTGAAAAATAGTGGAGAACTGAGGAGGGATAGAGAAGTGAGCAGAGGTGACAGCCTGAGGAGACTTGGAGGTTGAGAGAAAGGTAGGGGTTTGTGCTAAGTTGGAGGGCTTCTGTAGGGTAAATTGAGGAACCACAAAGGTTCTGGGAGAAACAAGGGGCAGAGCAAGAGTACATGGCGGGGTGGGGGACAGTTTGTACTGAGCAGTGCTTGGAGAATGAAAGCAAGGTTTAGAAGGAGTGGCATCCTGTGTGTAGACCAGGAACTTGGGGTAGACTGGCGCCTGGGAGTCTCTGTCTTGGCTCTCAGAACAGCAAGGATGAAAGCTGCAGAAAGGGAAGGTCTTGGGCTGGGAGAACTTATCTTTGGCATTATCTGAGAGCTTCCATTCCATGTTCCCCAACTCCACATAACCAAGTATAGAGCCGGCGGGAGGCCCAGCACTGTCTTCCCCAGGCTGCTTTTGTGCTTGTTCAGCAATGCCAGAATTTACCAGACCCTTCACTTCTTGGGGCCTGGAGAAGATGTTCAAGTTCTTCCTGAGACACCTCGAGTTTTGGGAGCTGTGCTTACAGGAGACGTTCTGCTTGACTTGGCGAGCATCATAAACCGTATGGCCAGTAGAGAGGTGGGGGTAAAAGGAAGTCAGCCTAGAAGGAACGGGAGGTAGGGTAGGGGTAGAGGTGGTGACAGGGACTTGAGCAGAGGCGTGGGTAGTTGTCAGAGTCATGGACAGTGCTAGAGCAGGAGGTGGGGCACAGGCTGGGACAGGGGCCCGGCCACAAGGGGCCGGGGCAGAGGTTGGGCTAGGCACTGGGGTGTGGGCACACGAGGGAAGTAGGGAATGGGATGGCCCATGCGCTGAGGCTGGAGATGTTTGCTCAGGTTTGTCAGCGTGGGGGTGGGTCAAGGTGTGTGCTAGGATTTGGACTGGGTCGTGGCCTTGGGATTGGAAGGAAGTATGTGCAGGAGCCTGGATTGGGAGTTGAGGGGATGTGTGGGCTGAGGTTTGCTCAGGGTTGTGGGCTGGCCCCTGGAGTGTGAGAGCGGGCTGGCTCTGAGACTGGGCCTGATCGAAGGTATGGGTTTGACTGTGGGTTGGGGCCTGGACTGGGGGATAGGACAGGGTGGGGGTTGGGGGTAAATCCTTGGCTGGTATTGGGCCTTCACTGAGGGCTGGGATAGGAGCTGAGGTAAAATCTGGCACGTGGGCTGGTGGGGTTTGGGCTGAGATATAGTCAAGGCCCTGTGCCCTTAACTGAGTGGGTTCTGAAGGCTGAGTCTGGGACTGAGTGGAGGGGAGGTGTTGAGAGTTGGTTGAGGAAGAGGTTAGAGCCTGGGCCAGAGCGTGGGGTGGACTGTCATCTGGCTTAGTCTTGTTCTGGGGTGAGGAAGGTGGAACCATGTTCGTGTTCAGCCGGCATATCTTTGGAATCTGGGGAGAAACCTCTGGCCTGAAAAATAAAGACGCCTGAGTCTTCATGACTGTGGCCTGAGGGGCTTCCCCAGCTCCCATCAGTTCCTCTTTCCACAGTTCCCACGAAGCCTCTGTAGGAGCTCTGCCATGACCACATTTGGGGGGCATCCAGCAGCACCTAGAAACGTTCTCGTCATTTGTGTCTGGTATCCAGGAGTCAAAGTGACTGAGATGCCCCAGGAGGAAGCCGGGGCGGTGAAATCGGGAAGACATCCTCGAGTACAGGTTCTTGGAGTCCGCGATGCAGCGCATGTACACGGTGCGGCTGCTCAGACCAGCGGGTAGTTTGTCTGCAGGGAAAGACAGGTGCCCAGGTGGGAACTGCGACTGGGGCAAAGGCGACAAGCCACATACCCGGGAGACCACGCAGGCACCCACTCACCTTTGGGGAAAAAGTGATGGAAAAGAATGCGCAGTGAGTTCTTCAGATGCTTCCAGAGCTGAGGGAAGCAGAGGAAGGAGAGCCCAGACGTGAGGCAAGCCCCGAAGGCTGACATTTGTCTGACTGTATCCTAACAGCCCTCCCACTTTAGCCCCTTGAACACACCAGATCTCAGGCTAAGCATGGTATCACATGCCTGTAATGACAGCCCTCAGGAGACTGAGGCAAGGAGACCTTAATCCTTATCACTTAGTGACATTTTGTCTCAAAACAAACAAGCAAAGGAAGCCCAAAGCCCCTTCCACCTGCTGCCCAGACCCTGCTCCCTCCACCCTGCTGCCCAGACCCTGCCCCCTCCACCTGATGCCCAGACCCTGTCCCTCTACCTGCTGCCCAGACTCTGCCCCCTCCACCTGATGCCCAGACCCTGCCCCTCCACCTGATGCCCAGACCCTGCCCCTCCACCTGATGCCCAGACCCTGTCCCCTCCACCCTGATGCCCAGACCCTGCCCCTCCACCTGATGCCCAGACCCCGCTCTCTCCACCTGATGCCCAGACCCTGCCCCCTCCACCCTGATGCCCAGACCCTTCCCTGACCAGAGTCACCACATTGATTCCCACGTTGAGCAAGATGAAGCTGCCCAGAATCAGCAGAATTGAATCTCCTAAATCCTGGCATCTCCTGAGGTTGGTGCCAGAGCATGGTTGGGCTCTGTGGTAGACTTGTTCACCCATGACCTGGGGTCCTAGGACTACCTGGGCCCCATGGCCCCTACATACTAGGAAGCCGACTTCCCTAGTGGGGAGGGGAGAAGGCCTACATCATAATGGAGCAGGTGATTGGGATCACAATGGGATGGTGGAAGAGAAGGGTCCAGGATGAAGCTCCCTAGTAACCAGGGCCTAGCAACCTAAACCTAGAGGCAAGCCAGCACCCCTCCGTTTTATCAACTCTCCCCCCACGTCGAGCTGATTCCCTCAGCTCCAGCAGGCCTCAGGTCGTCACTCCTGCAGTAGAAAACTCAGAGTCTCAGCCCTCGGTTGCTCAAGACTGGGGAGCTCTGGCTGAATCTAGAGCCCTGGTCTCTTCCTGCGCTGGCCTCAAGCTTTTTTAATTTTATTTTATTTTTATTTTTTTATTTGGTGTACATCAGTGTTTTGGTGTTTTGCCTGCATGTATGTCGGTGTGAGGGTGTCAGATCCCCTGGAACAGGAGTTAGACAGTTATGAGCTGCCATGTGAGTGCTGAGAATTCCCAGGTCCTCTGGAAGAGCAGTCACAACTCTTAAACCACTGAACCATCTCTCCAGTCCAGCTTTTATCTGCCAGATGTCTGACTTCAGTTTCTTTTTCTCCCTTCCCTCCCCCCAATTTTATTTTATGTATATGAGTGTTTTGATTGTATATGTCACATTTGCCTGGCATCCATGGAGGTCAGAAGAGGACTTCAGGTCCCCAGAACTGGAATTACAAATGGTTGTCACACATGGGTGCTGGACTCTGAATCCAGGTCCTCTGCAAAAGCGTCAAGTACTCAACCAAAGAGCCACCTTTGCCAAGGCCCGGTCCCAGTTTCTTGCTGTCAAGTACTCAACCAAAGAGCCACCCAGTCCCAGTTTCTTGCATTCTACTATCCTTTATTATTATTATTGTTGTTGTTGTTGTTGTTTTGTTTCTTTGTTTTTTTGGTTTTGGTTTTGGGTTTTTTTGAGACAGGGTTTCTCTGTAGCTTTGGAGCCTGTCCTGGAACTTGCCCTTGTAGACCAGGCTGGCCTCGAACTCACAGAGATCTGCCTGCCTCTGCCTCCTGAGTGCTGGGGTTAAAGGCGTGCACCACCACCGCCCGGCGTGAGTCCCAGTTCCTTGAGCAGAACTGAGTCAGTGTCTTTTGAGAAGAGGAAGACCGAAAACCGAGTGGGAGTTTTGAAGACCTGGGCTTCACAGTTTGCAGCTTAAGACTTTTCAGACAGGACCAAGAGGGGGCTACTGACAGGATTATGGCCCCCTGAGCTACAGGAGCGTCACGCCAAGGGGAGACTGGCTTCTCTTAACAGGAATCCCCAGCGGATGAGAGAGGGGCTATTTCCAAACCACAAACAAGGGCTTCTGGACTCCTCTTTATTCCTTTCTCCATGCCCTGCTCCGCGGCCCACATTCACCTGCCGGTCAGCTAAGTTTCCCTGTCCGACTTCTGTGCAGAGAGGGCCTTGAAGCTGAGGTGGAAGGTGGTGGCAGTGAGCTGGCCCGTCCTCTGCTTTCCTGCACCTGCCTCTTCAGCTCCAGGCTGTCATACACCTGGTAGCTGGCATTGCCACCTGGATTCCGACTGAGCGGAACAAAGGTGGTTGGAGGTGGGGTTGGATCGGAAGCCTGGACTTCAGGCAAGGGCTGGGAGGACTGAGGGATCATCAATCCCGAGCTGGCAGCTGGAGCCCTTTGGTATGAAGCCTCGCCCAATACCGTGAGGGAGGTGGAAGTGGTCAGAGGATGCCTCGAGGGGAAAACCTCAGTCCAGTCAGCTGCCCGCTTGCGGATCTCATGAGAGTCCCTGGAGCTGTAACCCATGTGTCCTACGGACTGGGGTGGGTTGTAGGTGGGTTGACTGTGAGTATAGCTAGGGAGGTTCTGCCGGTGGCCCTGTGGGGAGTTGTGCTCCCGGTACCCCTGGGCCTCTGGCCTGGGGTTCCTGCATGCAAAGGTCAGTGGTGCCTCAGAGCCTTCTACCCCACGCCGCCGCTGATCCCAGGCATCAGGCGGTATGTGGCCCCCTGAAGAGAAAGGGCTGTAGCCCACAGTGACCCAGGAGGGACTAGGAAGCAGCCGGCGGGCAGGTGGTGGTGAGGCCCACTGCTCAGCTTCCACATTACCCCAAATCCGGGACTGTGAGTAACGGGGACCGAAAGCCTGTAGCCTCAGTTCTGACTTGGCTTCTACCCGCTTGGGCAAGCGGCGCAGCTCTGGTGACAGGTAGAGAGAGGGTAACGGGAGGCTGGCGAGGATTCCACCCTGGCGGCCCCACAGTCTCACATTGGAGGCCCGACCTATTGGCTTATAAAAACCTCGCCAGCCCCTGTGCGGGTGTTTGGGATGCGGACAGGACTGGTCATCCTCCGGAAAGGAATCCCGGTCTTCCAGGTCAAAAAAGGGCAGTGGCCTCGGCTGTGACGTCTTGTGGCTTTGAGGTTGTTTACGGAAGGGTGGGTAGCCATGGGCGAGCTGCCTGTTGTTTGGAAACCTCTGCTGGTGACTGTGGCGGCCCTGTGGGTAGCGGTTGTGGCTGCCCTGCTGGTGACGGCTGCGGCAGCGCCTGCGGCGGCGCCTGCTGCTATAGCGCTGACGGAGATAGTGGTAGGAGGAAGAGGAGCAGTGTGTGGGTTGTGCCATCTTCACTTGTACAGGGTCCAGGATACAATGGATGTGAACGTCCTGGACTTTGGCTGGGCCTTCTGTGGGGGGACATTCGGTAGCCTGGACTTCATCTGCTACAGACAAGAGCCAAAAAGTTCAGGGTTAAGAACACTTGGTCCTGATTTTTTAGGATTCATGTGTGTCTGTGTGTGTGTGTCTCACCGTGGTCTACATACTTACTTCTCTGACACATCCAACAGATTATCTTGTCTAAGGCATTCTGGAGCCCATGCCACACCTGGGGATGGTGGGTGGGAGATGGGAATGAAGACCAGCTTTCTAATACTGTCTCCATTCCCAACAATCCCACTCATTCCTGCGAGCGAAGCAAGCTTTCTTCATCCCTATGGGTGAGCCCCAGTAATCACTGACCACAGTTGTCACGTTGATGCTGATGTTGACAAGAATGATGAGACCCAGCAGCAGGAATAGGATATCCTCAGCATCCTCGGAGCTTTCTTGGTATTGATTGCAGCACCCCAACCTGCCCTGCCACAGCTGGTTTTCCATGGTGGGGGGGTCCAAAGGCCACCTGGGCCACCCCCCCCCACCCAGCCCAACCCACACTGTATTCATGCCAGTACCGAGAGATGCTTACTATCTGGGAGAGGGAGCCAGGTCATAATGAGGCAGGTTAGAGTCATAATGGAGAGACAGAAGCTCTTTTATTCATTGATCTGACTTATCCTTGCCCTCTGTCTGATAGAACATGACCCTGATACACTTGAGGTCAGTCTTCTCCGCCTCCACTCTTCACCCTGGATCTGGTTTCTGATCAGAAAGTATGGTAGCTACAGTCATGAGACAGTCAAATATCCATAAAAGAGTCCATTGCTCCTCTGAGGCATGCCAGCAGATGTAGCCTGTTGATATGTCACAGTTCATGCCTGGGTTGAGAGGGCTGTCAGTCCTGGCTGCTGGAGTGGCTGAGGCAAAGTCTAGTTCCAGGCTGTCCTGGAGCTAGAGATGCCATCTCAACTACACACACACACACCTTAGTGAAGTACTTCCGTGTACTTCCAAACATGTTTATTCAGTGCTAGAAAAACAAACAGTTCACAAAGTTAACAAAGTATAAAATAGACATAACTGTTGATATAAGGAGCGGAGTCTTTCATGTAAACTAGGTTAACAGTCATTTATCTATGAAAGTAGCACCCTGACTGCAAGTGTGGGGTTTTTGTTTGTTTTAGTGATAAAATCTAGCAAGAGATACAGAGATGGTTCAGCAGTTCAGAGGGCATACTGCTCTTGCAGAGGACCCAAATTCAGTTCCCACTACCCAGGTTGGGTGGCTCACAATTACTTAGAACTTTGGTTCCAGAGAATCGAACGCCCTCTTCTGTACTACATTGGCAACTGCACTCAAGTGCATAAATCTGCCCTCATATAGACATCTAATTAAAAAAATAAAAGTTTAAAAAAAAAAAAAGAGGGCCAGGTATGGATGGCACATGTCATTAACCATAGCACTCTAGCACTTCAGAGGCAGAGACAGGGCAGATTCTTTAGGTTCAAGACTAACCATGACCAACCCAGTGACTTCCAGGCCAGCCAAGGACCCTGTCTCAAAAAGATAAAATAAGATCTTATGTAATCCTCCCTGGCCTGGAACTCAAGATCTAACTGGCCTTGAACTTGTAAGAAACATCCTGCCTTTGCCTCCAGAGTGCTGGGATTACAGGCGTGCATGAGCAACACCCCGCCAGCAAGTCATTTTCTGTGTTGTTCTGACAGGGTCGCAAGTAAGCCAGAGTGACCTTGGCAAACTACGTAGTTAAGGACATTCTTGAACTCCCTGATACTCCTGCTTCCACCTGCCAAGAATGTCTTATACAGCAAACTGTTCAGCAGAAATGGAGGAAAGGTGTTTTCTATAGTCTCCGAATACACAGCACATGCTTACTGTGTCCCCACAGAATAAAATTAACTGGAAATAATCAATAACATTTTGCTTGGAGTTTTTATTTTGCTGATATGGCATCTTGCTATTGTAGCCCCATCCAGCCTACACCTCGGTATATAAACCTGTCTAGCTTTGAACTTGCAGTCATCTTCCTGCCTCAGCCTCCTGAGAACCGGGATTACAGCCTTGTACTACCACTGAACTTCAGTAGCTCCAGATGGATGCAAACAGAAAAATAGGGTGACTCACAGAAAATATGCTAACATTCTAGGAGTCCATCTGGCATGAAAGGTGATGTCCAGCCCCTTCAGCCTGGGCTCGCGTGGTTTCTTGCTCCCAAGATTGTGTGTTCCCATGCATAGGAGAATCTCAGCCATCTGGGAACAGGGCAGGGTTCATTTTCTCTTTGGTCCAGTGGATGGAATATTCAGAAGTGGCCACATGGTAAAATGTAGGCTGATTCATAGGCAGTGGGAATTTATCCACCAGCAGGAATGGGGAAGGTGAGGTAGAAAGCCCTAAGTATCTGTGGCCACAAGCAGGTTACTTGGTGGCTCGAGCCTCCATTTTTACTTTGTGACATGGAGAGGCATAAAACCACAGAAGGCTGAGATATGAGATGGCGTCTCTTGAGAGTATCCCTGTCATTTTACCTCCTGCTTCTAAATCTATTCTCAAGGGTTGCAGGAACTTCAGGTTCTGCCTGGGAGGTTGTAAGAGCCTAGAGACCCTCCCTTGCCCAAGGAAACTAGAGCATTGGAGGGAGCCCTGCTTCTGCTGGATCTGTAGCCTAAACCTGGGCAGCCTAGACCTCTGAGCTAGGGCCATGGGATCTGAGGCCTTTTCTCTAGATCAGGATTGCCTTAGGATCTGACTAGATTTGGTGGCTTCTCTGAACACTAAAGAAAACAGGGTAGAGGCCAGTTGGGAGCCTTCGAGTCAAGAAGGCCCTTGAGAAGGGCTCAGGATAGAGCCTATGAAGGCAAGAAGTTGACAAGGGTTCCCAGGACTCTCTAGGCTATTTCAAGGGAGGTCATTGTCTTAGCAACCAGGGATTCTGGGCACTGTGAAGACCCGCCCCTCAGACCACCATAAACCACCTCTTCTTTCCTTTTTATTTTTTTTCCCCAGTCATCGTCCCTTCAGGGAACGATACACCCAATCTTGGCTTGTCCCCTCAGCTGTGCTGGATCCAGAAACCAAGGGGTAACAGTGAGACAAAGCCTCCACCTCCCGGGTCAGTTCTCGGAGCCGGCGCCTCACATCTCGGGCATCATACACTATTCGACCTGAAGAACGGCGCTGGGGTATCTCGGGGATGTTTGCTGGACCCAGGAAGGGTGGTGAGGCAGGCTGGCACTGTCCTTGCTCATCCTCGGCACCTATCCCCGGCCCCACCCCATTGTTTTTATGGCTCAGCGCCTCTGGGTTGGGAGGTGGGGGGTTCACAGTATACACATAGGCCTCTAGGCCCTGCTCTGACCGGATCTCTGTTTTGAGAGGCCTTCCCTCTACTGGTGACTGGAAGCGGATGGTCTGGGGAGATTGTTCTAGACCATCCTGAGTCCAAGGATCCCAGATCTCCTGCACGGATTGGAAACCTTCCCAGTCCTTAGGACCATCCCAGTGGTGGGAGCAGATTTCCTGGTGCTGATGCGGAGGCTTCTCATCGTCAGCGTCAGGGACCCAAGGTGCTGGGCGGTGGGCGCGGCGAGATGTAGAGGCCCTACGGCGGTGACGACGAGTTGGTGGGGGGGGTCATGGTCATTTTCACAGGGTCCATCGTACATCGAAGATGGACTTCAGGGTAGGTCTGCTTCCTTGAGGGCTGGGCCTGCCTCCCAGGTGAGGATAATTTAGTAGTTTCTGTGAATTGGGGAAAGGTGAGGCTGTTGGAGAGGCTGGCTTCTACAGAGAGGGAGGGTGGGACTTTGAGAGAGAAGCTGCCCTTCAGTCATAAGGAGCAGCTTAGGGTCAGGTAGGAGAGAAGCCTGGTTTCTGCTTCTCAGAGGCCCCAAGCCCTAGCCATTCTTACCTTTCTCACAAATGATATGGAACATTCGGTGTAAGATGATGCGGAGACGGCTCCAGAGCTAGGTAGAGGAGGACATGGTGACCACGAGTAGGTTCTTATAACCAGGCCTGCCTCCCATCCACCTCCATCCACACCCTTCACCCCTGACCAGGGTCACCAGATTGATGCCAATGTTGATACAGATGATGAGACCCAGGAGCAGGAGGATGGAGTTTCCCATGTCCTGGCAGTTGTTGCTGTTGGGGTTTTGATATGAGGCCCACTCAGGCCGCGGCCGCTCAGCCATGGCCATGGCGGTCCCTAGGGCCACCAGGGCCCTTAGGACCCCAACCTACTAACCCTAGTGCCCACTGGCCTGCCAGCCTGACCCTGAGAGTGACCGGGTCACAATGATGCTGAGGCTTTTCCTCACAATGTGCCAAGATGATACTCAAGTAGCTGGGCGCAGAGCTGGCTCTCCGACCTTAGCCCAGGCCTTGGCAGGGCAAAGCTTCTCTTGCAGACGTCTCTTCTAGCCAGCCTCACCGGCTCTCTAGTCCATCAGCATCTGCTTCATCAGTTCCTGTTCCTTCTAAGGTAACAGCACCGACACAGCTTCTGATCCTGGCCTCCACAGAGCCAAGAGTGACCTTGAAATCAGGATCCTTCTGTCTCTTCCTCTCAAATACTGGGGTGACAGTGTGCACCATGTCTAGCATTTTATTTTTTGGGGTTTTTTGAGACAGGGTTTCTCTGTAATTTTGGAGCCTGTCTTGAAACTTACTCTGTAGACCAGGCTGGCCTTGAACTCACAGAGGTCCAGCTGCCTCTGCCTCCGGAGTGCTGGAATTAAAGGTGTGTGCCACCACTGCCCGGCTGCATTTTTTTTTTAAAGACATGTAGTTGAGGCTGGTCAGTTTGTGATCCTCTACAACGGCCTCCTGGATGTTAAGATGCAAGTGTTTGTAGCTATTTGCCCATCCTGTTCTTTACCTTAGCCATCCAATCCCGTCATTATGGCAACCTCTCTTGTTATTTCCCCTCAGATCTTGAGTTTCCTGAAAAAGGTTGGGCACTTTTTCCCAGCACCTAACATAACAGATAGAACCAGAGCTGGGTACCCTCTCCAGCACCTTCTAACGTAACAGCAGACACGCCAACAGTTAAACTTTTATATTTACAATATTCTCTTCATCTTTTGCCAGGTTTAAAAATGTGTACAGAGCCGCAAAGGGTTGGGGTGGGGACATGGGATTATTTGGAAAGGGGCTGGGCATTGGAGTCCGTGGCTGTTTCATGGGGTCCCCCAGCCCCCCCTCACACCCCAGCTCTGGGGCGTCCACTTACAGGGCTCAGGGCCCAGGTTGATAGCATTTGGAAGGCATGGCTGTTCCAAGAATTGCTAGACCAGGCAGGGAAAGGGCCAGAAAAGAACTACGTTTCCATGGGTGGAAGTGGGGAAAAGGACAGGGGACTCAAGACCAAGGATTCTGGATCTGGGTGTCAGTGGAAGACAGCACCCTACCCCTATACAAGTTTGGCACTAACATCCCACAGAAAGCCACACAATACAAGAGGATTCAGCCACACCTCCACCCGTGTCCCTTAAACCTTTCCTGACGTTCTTTTCCTCGGAGGTCCAAATCTAAAGACCTCTGGGCAGATGCCTTTCACATTTCCTTTTGAAATCTTCTTGCCGGTTCCTGCCCAAGCCCTGTCCCCCACGGCCCCCTCCATCTGCTCCTCTGTACAGCTGACCTCATTCTCCCCAACCTGTCCATGTAACCTTTTTCCCTGTCTCCTCCCCTCCCCCTTCTACTGCTCCTTTCCGTCAGCTCAGCCAATCAGGAAGGGGCGGCAGGTCAAAGAAGGTGAAGAGAGAAGGCTGGTCTGACCCTGAGATGGGGAGAGCATCAAAGAAGGAGCCAGTGATGGAGAAGGAGAAGAAAGGCAGTTAAGGGGAAATGACATAGGGATGAGACATAGGGGGGGGGGGGCTTAGCTGCCACCTGTCCCTGACATTTCCCTTCCCTGGACTAGGACTTAGGGGATCCTTGGCACATTTTGAGTCTCCTAACTCCCCTACCCAGTTTGGCACGGATGAGCAATGATCTCAAGGACTGAGGGAAAGCTGTCCTCAGGCCCCATGAGGTCAAACATGCATGGCCTCTTGTGTGACACGTGCCATGCCCCCACATCCTCTCACCTCTGCGTCTCCCTCCAGGTTCGTCCTCCCCCTCCCCCCGTGGCTCTGTCAACTTGAAGTCTTTCCCCACCTGCTATGTAAGGAGGATTGTGTGCTGGGCCTGAGGTGTTGGGGAATGCAGGGAAGAGCTGGGGAGAGCGGGACCCTCTGCCTGGGAAACACACATCCACATGCAAGAACATGTTTCCATTCAGTGAAATGTGTCCTGGACCATGGGAAGGTAAGTTTCCAGACAGTGCTGGGATGCACAGATCTCCCTTCCCTCTAGCAGGAAATCTGTGTTGTCTATGGAAGGCAAGGGTCTCCAAGGAGAACGTGCTTCGCCTGACTTGTGCCATGGGGGGAGAAACATGCTTTTCAGGGTGGATGGGGAGTGGGGTCCAGGGGGCCTGTGATTTCCTTGCTGCTCCCCAGGTACCACCCTGTATTGTCTGGTGGCCAAGGGTCACTGTATGTGAACACATCACTTCCAGGGTCTCCAGGGAGTGGGACGGGGAGAAGGCAAAGGCATGAGGGAACAGGATTCTGGGGTACAAATCCCCGCAGAAATTCTTCTTCAAGGGGGACAACATGTGTCCAGGGCGGCAAAAACAAAAACAAAAAAACCTCACCCTGCACATGGGAAAACACCCCCTCATGAGGAAAGCACACCTCCACGTGGGAAAAAAAGACTTCCACATTTCCACACACCGAAGACTGGTGTCCCATCGGAGGGCAAAAATAGCCCAGGTTTTCAAAGGCCCAGGTCCAGAGAAGAGAATGGGCTTCTCTGCATGGGAAAAACTCCCATCGCCATGAGGTATCCCATGTCCACCTTAGCGCTGCTCCATGACGTTTGACAAATCCACAGGGGAAGAGCCCGGTGCCAAGTCCTCCTCCCTGCCTTCAAGTGGCCTGGGCTGGGGAGGGTTAGGGAGGTAGCCCTCCCCAAGCCGCCCCCTATACCCGAGTGGTGGAGTGGGGATGGGGTAGCGTGTTGTTGTGGCTGGTAGCAGTAGGAGGAGGTGGTGGGAAGGGCCCAAAGGGATGGAGAGAAGGAGGTGGGGGTGGGGGTGGGGGCCCCAGGCCACTGGGCAGCAGGGTCAGGGCCCCGGGGGCCAAGAGAGGCACATCGTCCGGTGCCCGGCGCAAAGCCAGGGTATAGTCGGGTGGACAGGCAGGGCGCAGGGCCTCAGCAGGGTCCGCCCCAACACCACCACCCCGCTTCAGCTGCAGTGACACCAGCTCCTCCTCTGGGGGTAGCTCTCGGCCAGCAGTGGGAAGCAGGGGGCCCCCACCAGGCACACCTGAGCCTGAGCCTCCGGGTGGGCTAAGCCGCCTGCACCGAAGCTCCTGTCGCCGGTCCCGCTTGTAGTAGAGGGCGGCAAAGGCAAGGATGTTGAGAAAGAGGAGGGAAGCTCCCACAGCCACAGTGACGCTCAACTCCGTGGAATAGTCCCTCGAGTCACCAGGGAAGCGGTCATAGGCTCGTGGGCCCGGGTCAATATCAGACTCAGGTGGCAGAGTGGCAGGTGGGGGAGGACGGCGTGTGCCGGAAGTGCCAGGGCCAGGTGTGCGAGGTGGCCAGCGTGTGGCATAGGGAGGCAGGCGAGTGGTGGTGGTGAAAGGCTCCGTGTGAAGGTTGTGCAGGTGAGGCACAAGCTCCAGCCAGAAGGCCACCTTGTTGGCGCGGTAGTTGTCACGCACGCGAGGTTTCAAGCCGATGTGCAGGTACTGCTTTTCCTTGCTGTTGAACTTGCTCCACACCACCTCTTCAAAGCGGTTGGGCTTGGTGTGGATGAACTTGGTGTCCTGTGGCACAGGCTGGTTGGGGTCACTGCGGGCACAGGAGGGCAAGGAAAGGAGTGAGGGTGGGGCTCCTGAGGAGGGTGGAGCAGTAGGAGGGGGAAGAGGTCAGAGATTCAGAGAGCTTAGAGAAGGTTGGATGTGATGGTACACGCCTGCAATCCCAGCACCTGAGAGAAAGATGCAAGGCATGGCCTGGGCTAAATAGTGAGGCTTTGTTTGTTTGGGTTCTTTCTTTCTTTTTTTTTCCTTTTTCTTCTTTTTTTTTTTTTTTTTTTTTTGGTTTTTTGAGATGGTTTCACTGTAGCTTTGGAGCTTGTCCTGGAACTAGCCAGGAACTCACAAAGATCCACCTGCCTCTGCCTCCCAAGTGCTGGGATTAAAGGCATGTGCCACCACTGCCCGGCTGTAATGGTGGGATTTTACCAGATACAGATAGATAGGAAACACACAGAGAGACACAGAGTATAAGAGACACACACACAGACAGACAGACAGAGGGGGAGAGGAGAGAGGAGACACACACGCTCACACACGGGGTGGGGCGGGAGAGAAACAGACAGACAAACCAAAACTTACGCAGACCACAGAGACAGAGATGAAGTTAGAAGAGCAATCCAGTGACACAAGCTGAGACCGAGGGACAGAAATGGAGACAAAGGCACATGAGAGACAGCCAGGGACAGGAAGACAGTGCTGGTGAGAGCAGCCGAGACACAAAAGCCAAAGAGGGCAAAGAGACAGAAACACAGTGACAAACAGAAACCCTCTACACTAAGACTCAGACCAAGGTGGTCAATCAGCGGTCACAACAGAACCACCTAGAAAATTCACTCCCAGAAAGACAGGAATCTTTCCAACACCAGTGACTCCGACTCTCAGGGCCTGAACACAAGTGTTAGGAGAGCAAGGGAAGGCAAGAGCCAGTGTCTTCCTAAGGAACAGCGGCTATGTGAAGCGAGATGGGAGGGAGAAGCAGCCAGGGAAGGCAAGGGGACCTCAGCCTACAGGGGTGTCCCGCCCAGCCCGCTAGGCCCTCTGGCCCTCACCCAGTCTTGGCGAAGTTGGTCCAGTATGTCATGACCACTGCGCTGAGCATGACGTCATTCTTGGAGAAGTTGCAGGGGAAGAGATCAGTGGCGCCCACCATGGGCACACCAAAGACGTAGGGTAGCTCATCCCCATGTGCGGCATCAGCCCACTCTGGCCGGCCTTCAGCCTGGCAGTGGTGGTAAAAGGTGTAAAAGTAGACAGGGGATTGGTAGTCGGCATGCAGCTTGGCAGTGGCCACAGCTGGGGCTACCCATTGGTGGTCAGTAAAGAGTGCCAGCAGGGTCTTCCGTCGCATCTCGCCATTGTCCCGGTCAGCCCAGTCCGTATACATGAACTTAATGGTCTCTCGAAGCACGTCCTTGCCCTCTGGGTACCCATACAAGTTGTCCACAAAGTTGGAGACGGTGAAGTCAAAGGCGCTGGCAGACACGCCATCCTCACTCTCTGCAGAGTCCTCCACGAACTTGAGGCCCTCTCCCTGGTTGACACCGATGAGCATGTCGTAGTTGAGGAATTCTCCCTGTTGCATGAGGATCTCGGGGTCATCAGGGACTACATCGCCGTCCACCACAGGCCCAAAGGCAATGTGGTAGCTGGGGAGAAGGGGACAAGGTCTCACCATCCAGTTGCTGGCCTCCCTGGACCCATGGCCTCCTAAGTCACCCCTTTGCCCAGAAGACCCTTCTCCACGACTGGAAGACTCCTAGAGTCTTTCAGGGCATTTTGGCTTCTCTGAACACCCACTTAAAGCCTTCGGTGAAACCCTGTGTTTGATCTATCTACGGGATGAGGTGACCTTCACTCAAGGTACAGCCACTAGAAGGGTCTGAAGCCCCCTTCTCCTTGCCCAGTAGAATGTGCCCAGGAACCCCTCACACCTCTTCAGAATCAGCTAGGAATGTAAAGACCTGGACCCAGCCATCTCCCATCCCCATACCGGGCAGGCTGTACATCCTGGTCCACTAGCTCTCGGGAAGACTTCCGGCGTAGACATTCCACAGCCTCAGTGCTGTCCTCTCGGTCACAGCCCACTTTGGCTGCCAGCAGCCGCGTGTACTTGAGCGGCTGATAGTTGACAGACCAGCTGGAAATGGCAGTGCCACTCTGAGCAATGGCCTTCTGGAACAGTCCTGGTGAGACAGGCAGACCTCAGGCTAGGCTGTCGCAGCCAAAAGGAGAGACTCGGTAGGGTCCAGGGGAAGGGAAAGCAGGCAAGGAGGTTGCTGGTACCTTCTGAATGGTGGGAGAGGATCAGCAGGTTGACACAGGAAGCCCCCGCACCAGACCCAAAGATGGTGATGCGCTCAGGGTCACCTCCAAAGTGGGCAATGTTTTCACTGAGCCAGCGCAGCGCCTGGATCTGGTCCAGGAGCCCATAGTTGCCTTTTGCAGCCTGGTCACCAGTGCTGAGAAAACCTAGGGGTAGAAGAAGGGGGCTCCCTGGAGGCGTCACAGCGTCCTTGCCCCCTCTGCAGGGAGTTTCATACTCTCTAGGTCTATAAGGCTGAACTTGGGAGGATCAGGCCCACCAGGACTGCCCCCCAAGAATTGGCTGTCCACCCTCACCGAGCACCCCAAGACGGTAGTTGAGCGTGGCTACGATGACATTGCCATAGGCAGCCAGGACTGAGCCGTCGAACATGTTCCCAGTGCCCTCCATGTAGGAGCCGCCATGTAGAAACAGCATCACTGGTTTCTTCCCAGAGTCCCGGATATCTGCGTGGGAAGGGGATGGCAGGTGGGCCAGAAGATCGGGGACAAGGACACAGTCAGACCAGAAGTAGCACTTGGAGCTCCCAGGCCTTCTGAGGACCAGCCTGGAGCTCAGGGGACTTCTCACTACCATCCCTGGCGGGGGGGCAAGACCGGATTCCCCTCCCTCCCTCCCCAGCTAACCCCGGAGGAAGGTCCCTCTTCATCATTGGCCAGCATGACTCCAAACACTTCAAACGTTGGGCACACTTTCCAAGAAGCCCAACAGAGGCTAAGGGTAGGAAGGGGCTTCTCCTGAAGCCAGAGACCCCTCCACACACGCAGCAAACTCCTTACTGCTCCTGGGAAGAACAGACTAAGGCTGGGACTAGGCTGGCGGTGCTCAGAGGGTCCTGGCATCTCCTCAGACTCAGGCTTGGGCCTCAGCACCACATGGCACCCTAGTCTGTGGGTGAGGGGTGCCAGGCCCTAGGGTCCCTGGGGGCTTGGTCTCCTCCCCGCCCTAATTCCTTTCTAGGTCACCTCCCCAGTTACCATGGCAACCCCCAGCCTAATTACTGTGGCAGGAGGAGGCAGTGTAGGAAAGAGCCTGCTTAATGAAGTTAGAGTAAAGCTGACTGTTGGACTCCCCGCCCTCCGAACTGGCCTTTCCTGCCTGGAAGCCCTCCTGCCCTCCTCTAAAGGAGTCGTCTACACAGCTGCCACGTGCAGGAGACCAGGAGGCTCTGAACTGGGCTAAGGAATGAAAATTCCTAAAGAGAGTGTGGGAGTCTGGGAGGGCCTCTCAGGGCCCTCAAGACTACAACCTGCTTCCCCACTGTTACCCTGATTTCAGTCCCGAGGCTGGGGTCAACTCCAGCTCTCTTGGAACTCAGGCATGCTCGGTGGGGTCTAGCTCAGCGGCAGAGCTCTTGCTTAGCTCCTGCCCATGGAAGCCAGGTGTGGGCCCCTCCAGCTGGTAGCCAGCACCTGTGCCAACACCCTTGCCCTGCCAGAAGGTCAACCTGCAAGTCATAGGACATGCTCTTTCCAACCCTGCAGGCTGGCTCTCTGCTTCCTGCTCGGAGACTGTCTCTGGACTTCTTGAGCCAGAGTTCTCTCTGTGTTCACCCACAAGATCCTGTTATTACTTCCAGCCCTAACTCTCAGGTGACAATGTCCTTCCTTCCAGGGTCCTGTCCTAAATGTCTTCATTCTCTTCCACCCTCCCCGAGAGCCCTCTCCCAGTGTGGGGGGAGGGAGTTAGATGGGAAGGAGCAGGAAGAGGGGCAGGGGCAACAAGAATTCAAAACCACCAACAAAAACCAGGAGCAAGAAAGAAGAAAGAAAGAAAAAACAACAAAAAAAAAAGCAAGAAGCTCTTGGGGCAGATTCAACAAGAAAAGAAAAAACAAAAAGCTCCATTTGGGAAAAAAAGAAAACAAGAAAAAAATTCTTTGCATTATTTCAAAATTTTGTGGTGAAACTTCAAGATATTGGGCCCTGTTTTTAAAAATTTCCAGATTCTTTGATTCGCTTCAGATGCTTACATTTTTAAAGTCTGACAGGCTTTTGGTTAGAAATCATAACAGGCTTCTGATGTTTTGATTAATGTCATTAATTTGTCAATTTTTTTCAAATATTATTTTGCTTCAAATTAAAGCTTTTTTTTTTTCAAATGGTGCAGTCCACATGTTGCAAAGCAGTCCGGATTTCTTTCAAACTTTCAACATTTTGTCCAATGTTTTTTTCCTGGCAATCCAATTGCTTTTCATTTTTCCACTCACTTTCACCAGCGCTAGCTTGTCTCCAACGTTAACTAGTGGGTCCAACATTGTTCAAATTTTGTTTGAAGTTTTCATAATTCTTTTTTCCAATTATTAAAATTTTTTCTTTTCTTTTTCATTTTTAGTCGGGAGAACGACTGAGGGGCCTCGGGGGCTACAGGGACATTTAGTTAGGGGCAGGGCCATCAACGTCCTCTTCAAAGCAACCACATGCATCAGCGGGATTTTTAAATCTACCTGTGTCTGGCGGATTGAGCGTCGCCTCGTCACGTTTTTTTGTGAGCGGACCTAAGACCGGGAACACAAAACAGAGAAAAAAGGACAATTTTGTGGGGAAAGATGGGGTCAGGGGAGGTGGTAGATGGGGAGGGGGGGAGAGAGAGCAGAAAAGGGGAGGGTGGGGAGAGGCAGAAAAAATAAGCCAAAAAAAGCAAAATTTGTTTGCAAGAAAAAGAAATCAAGAAAAGAGAAAAACGTTTCTATAACCCAATTTCCCCTCCCCAGAAAAAGTCATGCCCCAAAGAAAAGGTGGGTCTGGGGGTGGGGTGCCTGAGCGGGCTGAGGCTGTATTGAGACACAGGGCTTAACTGGAAAGGATTTGGCTTTTTGGTGTGTTTGCTGCTTGCTGGAAATGAAATAGTGTTAGGGGATGGGGTGGAGGGGGCCCAGGGACACCAAGGCTGGCTCGCCACTCAAGCCATCTTTCATGCAGGCTCCTTGCAGGGCCAGCCACGTACTACGGGCTGCCCACTTTGGGCTGTAAGAAGAGGCTGCACTCAAAGGACCCTGCTTCTCTGTGCTGTTCTGGAGGTCAGAAGGTAGGATGGACTAGGGGCAGACCATTCTGTGGTTCCTTGCCTCCAGAAGCCCTCTGCTGCCAGCTGAAGGGCTATGGTAGGTCAGCTAGGGCTGCCCACCTGCCCACCTGCCCAGCCTCACCCGCCAGCATCTCTCTTCCATCCATACTCGCGGGCCTGGCTTCTCGTCCCGTCCCATTTCCCCCATGTGGGCAAAGCAGGGAAAGGGGTTATCAGGTCTTGCCCTCCACTCCAACTTATCCCTCCACACTCCCACCAACCTCACCCCTTGCCCAGGCTTCTTCTCCTCCCCACCAAATTGTGATTTTCCCATAGGATCACCAGCCCCGCCCTAGGTCCACTGCTAAAGAGCCCTCCTCCCCCTTGGGGTATTCATTCTGCAAACAGCATATAGGAAACAGTGCCTTGGGTCAGTTTGACACATAAAGTAGGTATTGTCCCGGGAGACAGACTGGTCCTAACAGCCCAGAGCCTCCTGTCAGATTGCTTCTGGACTGGGGGGTTGGTGAGGGGAGCACTGGATCTGACCGGTCTCAGGGAGTTCCCCAGGCTGGCTGGCTTTCCTCAAAGCTCAAAGAGGAATGGGCTAACAAGGTTCAAGCTAGCACTAACTGACAAGGCGATGCACTTGGGAGCAGGGCCTCTGTTGTGAGAGGAAATGGATAGGGGTGAAGTCAGCAGGGATGAAGACCATGAGACTGTGGTGTGTGTGTGTGTGTGTGTGTGTGTGTGTGTGCGCGCGCGCGCACGCATGTGTGCAAACCACTTCCTCCTAAAGCAGGTGTGAAGATTCAGTGAGATCACCTGAATGTGTCAGGCCCCAATCAGGTCTGCAATATGCAACAGTTAAAAATACAGAAGGTGTGGGAATGAGTGGTATGGAGGCAGGGAAGAGACAGTTTGTGTGGAGATGGAGTGGCCAGTCCAGCAGTGAGGAGCATTAGGGATTTCACACAGGAGGGATGAGAAAGCGCCCAGCAGGGAGACATGTATGGATTGCCTATGTGAAAGTGTTGGCGTTATTGGCCATGGTGGCTCATGCCTGGAAACTCAGCACTCAGGTAAAGCAAGATTATCAAGAGTTCAAGGCCAGCCTGGACTTCATAATGAGTTCTAGACCAGGCTAGGTTACAGAGGGAGACCCTTTCTCGGAAGAACCACTTGCAAGCGCACATACATGGCAGTGGAGAGTCTCAAAAGAACCACTTGCACACGCGTGCACACACACATGGCAGTGGAGCGTCAATGAATCGTAAAGGTGAGAGGGCGTCTATGGGAGACATTAGGGTGAAGGACTCAAAAGTGGAAAGATGCTGGGATACGAGGTCTGTGGACAGGTTGTCAGAAGTCATGGTTTTACAGGGGGAAGAAGCAGTTAGCTAGTATGCAGGGCTGGGACGAAGGGCAGTAGTTGGTGGATACTAGGGTGGACATGGGCAAGTTAAAGTCTACGCGTCATTCTGTGATTGGCATAGGGGAATCTTGGTGCAAGTTGTAAGCTGTTAGTGCTGAACCTTTCAGAAGAGTGAACTCCAGGGAGGAGATGGAGTAAGCCAAGTGCTGAGGATGCTGATGACGTGGCGTGAGGCGCCTGTCCACACCTATCAACAACAGTCTGTGTGCAGGGTTATGTGGTATAAATTGTACATGTGGCCATTACCAGAGAGCACAATTTGCATCCACGGATACTGGAGTCTATGAGAGTAAGCGGAACACCACTTCAGGGAAGCACTGGGCATGTGCACTCTGAAGGGGTTGAGAGCTATAAAATTGGAACCCAGGGCTGGAGAGATGGCTCAATGGTTAAGAGTACTGGCTGCTCTTCCAGAGGACCCTGGTTCCAGAGCACCCACATGGCAGCTCACGACTGTTTTCAAGGACCTCATGCAGACATGAATGCGGACAAAACGCCAATGTACATAAAATTAAATAAAATCTTAAAAAGAGAGAGAGAGAGAGACTGGAATACATGGCCAGCTGGGCAAATGGTCATTTTAGCAGTCGAGACTCCGATACTGCAGAACTTTAGTACACAGTGCGGAGCTATGGGAGTCTTTAGGGGCTCCTGATTGCCAGGCCTGGGTGTAAAGTTACTGGAAACAGTAGACGGAGGAAGCGTGCAGCAGTCTGCTCTGTGGAGGTGTCATAATGTTTTGGAGTGGTGAGATTGTATGTCAGAAGGGTAATGTGGGGGCTGTTTGTGATGCTGTTCTCCCCCCCCCCCCGTAGCTGGGATCTGTTGCAGACAGTAGAAGAGGTTCTGATTAATCTCAGTGAGTGGAGACCTACAGGGGAGCAAGCGCTGTCATGCAGTGAACAGGAACTCATTCACAAGAACCAAGGAAAACGTCCTGATGGGTTGCTATGCTGTGAGTGGAAGCTTCCCTGACCCTTCAGGGCTGTGTAGGGATTTCTGGATAGAGGATGGAAATCTCCCATAAGGAGTCACCCAGAGCCTCTGACAAGGGCACTCAACTCAGGTAAAGGACTGTGAGGTGCCATATGATAGAAGTCAGAGCAGGTGGGCCTGAGGATGGGGACTTTAAGTGATAGGGCTGGATATAGCTGAGTGGGAGGAAGGCAGGAGATAGAGGCAAGGCTGGAGTGGCTGAGCAAGCCATGGAGACATCATCACCTGAACACCAGCCACCAACACTGAGAGTAAGTATCTGTGTGCCTCTTTGGGGAAAGGACGGGTGAGCCTGTCCTAATGCCAGCTACCCTTCCTTCTAGGGCATCAAGAGTTTCTGCTGTGGAAGAGGCTACTTATAGGATGCTCCTAGGACTGCCTGATAAGCAGACACCCTTACCTGGGAGGATGCGCAGTGGCTTGTGGGGACACACTGCCCCTTACTGCCCATCAAGGCACAGCTTAGGGGCAGGAGTCGGTCCTGTGCTTGAGGGTCTGCGTGTGCGTTTGTGGGCTGTGTCCACAGGGTGCCCGGCCTGTGCCCGTGCCCTTACCGTCCTCAGTGGGCACGTAGAGGTTGAGGTACAGGCAGTCCTCGCTCTGGTTCTGCACGTAGGTGGCGGCCGCCTCCAAGTTGTCGGTGAACCACACAGGCAGCATGATGGCCGGCAGGGCCCCGTGCAGGTTCTGCGGGCAGGCGGGCGGCAGGGTGGTGGCGTTGCGCACGCCGGGCCACGAGGCCGGAGGCTCAGGCGGCGGGACGCGGCGGGCGCCCAAGGGCGGCGTGGCGTAGGGCACGCCCAAGAACTGCACGACCGGACCGAGGATCTCGTTGTTGAGCTCGCGCCGCACACCGCGCACTCGCCCGTAGGCTGTGTTCACCACCGGGAAGCGCTCCTCCCCGAGGCTACCGAGGCCCAGGCCTGGGCTGCCTGGGGCGCCGCCGACGGGACCCCCTCCTCCCCGTTGAGCCCCAGCCAGCCCCACCAGACACAACGCCAGGAGCCACATGCTGATTGGGGGACCCCCCCTCCCTCCCCTGATCCCCCCCCCTCGGAGAGAGAGAGAAGGGGGGGAGAGGGAGGGAGGCCCCCCTCGCCCCAGGAGGGAGGAGGGGGCGGGGAAAGGAAGGAGGAGGGGGACGGGTAGGGACCTGGGTTAGAAGGGGCAGAAGAGGAGTCTATTTCTCTCCATGGAGGGGGTAAGGGGTGGGGAAGGGGAAGAAGGTAGAAGAAGGTGCAGGCAGGCCCGACCTGCCCGGTGACAGGGGAGGACAGGGGACCCACATAGGGTGTGCAAGATACAGACAGACAAACAGACAGAAAAACACAGAGAGGTGAAGAAGGGAAGGGAAATTGGATGGGGAGGACAGAAAGGATGGGGAAACAAGAGACAAGTGGTTAGTGGCTTGCATTTCAGATCAAGCTGCCCCTTTCTTCCGCCCACAGACCCCCTGACACCTACCCCCTTTCCCCAACTGTCCTCTTCCCCTCCGCAGAGACCCAAGTTTGGGGTGGAGTCAGATATGGTAAATAAATGTTCAGGGCAGGGTCCGAGGAGGGAGCTTCAGCTTCCCAGACTCAGAGTGCCCCTTTCCTGCCTCTATCCCTCCCAGGCAGGCTCCCCCTAGGGACTCAGACGTCCCAGTCCCCACTTCCCTGGGAGACAATGAGACAGACAAGGAAGAGAAAATAAAAATACCAAGTCATTAATTAGCAGGAAGTGGCGGGTTTGTTTATACGTGTTAATTACTCCTGAGCTGTAATTTCATGGCTCTGAACCCCCACCCCAGGCCAGACGCTGGGCCTTCTTGAACTACAAACCCCAGTGCCTTCTCTCCCCATCATTCCCTAAAGATCTGTGTACTTGGAAAGCCCTTTCTCCCCAGGTCCTTCCATGTCTTCCCTTAGAAGTTGGGGTGCCCAAAGCCAGGGATTAAAGTGAGGAGGGGATGCTGAAGGGGCAAATCCAGGGACAGATGCATGATCCTGCAGCCGGTTGCTGGGCGACAGGATGCTGCCCCGCAATGTTACCTCGGCAACGGGCTGCAGCTTTAACCCTGGAGGGGGGTGGTCTAGAGGAAGAGGGGAAGGGGCTTGCTTGGTTGAGGGTCCATTCAGGCCATGAGAGGGAGGGCAGAGGCATGAGTCACAATGCTAATCCAGCCAATCTTAGCAGAGAGGAAGTATATATGAGGGGAAGGGTAGTCTAGAACAGAGAATCCTAAAAGATGACCCCCATCCCACTTAGCCAATCAGAGCCTAACCCTACTGTCCAGGTCTCTGGCAGGTGAGGGGACAGGAGCTGTGCTGAGGTGGGCTTCTCAGATAAGCCTACTAGCTTCCCCCTCCCATCATCTCTACAGCCTTAGACCCCATCTGGGGTTGCTCTGCACAGCATCTTGACCTCAGGTTTTTTTCTCATCCCGGCCCTTCTATTAGCCCTCCCTCCCCTTCCCCTTGCCAGCCCGGATGCTCAGGCAGCAGGGGCAGGACCACAGAAGAGGTAGATGGGGCAGACACCCAGGTGATTTCACCAAGCCCCCCCTTTGGTACCCCCCCCCCCCCCCAGTCTCCAGGGCTGTTTGCTGACGCCTGGTTTTTCAGAGCCAGGCGCCAGCCCGCGGGTGGCTCTCTGCAGGTGTCAATTTATTCTAGAGATGGGGACACAGGAGTCCTCACCACTCACACCCAGTCATGCCCTCCCCCTTTTCAGGCCCTTTTAGGCTTCTGTTCTCCCATCACCTGAAGGGGGTTTGGAGTGGACTCCCCCCCCATCTTCTCTTCCTATGCCAGGCTGGGCCTTGCTGTCCCTCCTCCCTCCTCCCAACATGGCCTGCCTCAGTCACCTCTTTCCCTTAAGGTACTTTGGGCCCCTTGCCTCCTCTCCTCCAACTAGCTTTTCTCTCTTCCCTCCCACTAGAGCCCTCCCACCATCTTTCTCCTCTGCACAGGGTCCCTCAGAGCATCTTTTCTCGGCTTAACCGGCTTGCTCCAGCTCTTGCCTTCAGTCTCTCACCTCTCGGTCTTTTCTCATTTCTGTCTCCTTGGTGTTTCTCATAGCTCTCTCCTCCAAATACCTTCTCCGATTTTCTCCCTCAAGTGCTCTCTCTCTCTCTCTCTCTCTCTCTCTCTCTCTCTCTCTCTCTCTCTCCTCTCTCCTCTCTCCTTTCTCTATTTCTCTCTCCCCCATTTTCTCTCTCCATCTCTGTCTGCTACATTTTGCTCCCCCTCCTCCGGATCCCTCTGCCTTGTTCTTCCATTCTAGCCCAGGCCTGACTCCCCCAATCGAAGAGAGTTGAGGAACGGGGGCTCAGGCCGCAGCCCCCCCCCCTTCCTGCAGTGGGGAAAATGGCTTGGCCGGGAAGGGGAGGAGGGGGAGGGGGAGATGGGAACACACGGGGTCTGTGGGCCCATTCAAAGGATCATTCATGGACTGGAGAGAGGCAGAGACAAAGAGACCAAGACGCAGAGACACGGCGAGAGCATCCCTAGGCGGAGACACGCAGACAGAGCAGGCTGGGGGAAACCAGGCGCAGGGAGGAATATGGGAAGAGGAAGACCCCAACGGACCACCGCGCAGCCCCCTCCACCCAGCCTGGCTTAGCTCCTACCTGGATCAGCCCTGGGGCCGTGGTGCCTCCATCCAGGGCTCCGAGTGGGGGGCTGACGGGCTTCAGAAGGGGGGCGGCGGCCTCTGAGCCCCCGCGGCCCCGCAGGCCCAGCCCCCGCCTGCTCCCATATTCCTCCCTGCGCCTGGTTT